ATTTAAAACAAAATTAGAAATCTGAAAAATATCACAAAGATAAAAATTTTTAACAGAAATCGATATGTCAAATATTCTAAAATTTGTTTTATCAAAAAATTTATCTTTAATATAAGACATATTGATTAAAATATGAATTTAGATTAAACTATTTAGAATAATATTTTATCAAGCTTTTAAACTTACAATAAGATCATTTTGATTTTTATTAGCAAGGGATACCAAATAATGACTTTACATAATGTTCCATTCTTCCCATTCGTCCATTAATTCTAATTTCTCAATTCTTTTTCTTTCTTCAGGATCAGTGCCTATATGATATAAAGTTTTCATATCATGAATTTCTACATAGTTAAACCATTAAGTTAATCTATCTTTATGAGCTTATAAAGATGGAAATGCTTCAATTCCAACTAATGGACAGCCTCTAAACTTGAAATATAATAATTAATTTTACTTCAAAATTTCTAACCATCATTTTACCAAATTAATCACTTGGATTAAACATTTCATAGTTTAAAAATGTTAATTATGGAAACCATTTAGTTAATCCATCTAATAATCGATTAGTGGCATCAGTTTTAATATAAGTTAATACACATTCTGCATAAACTAAAGTTGGAATAGTTTAATCAATAGATTATAATTATTTAGATAATTATTCAGTATTACATAAATCTTCTCCAAATAATAAATAATTTTTATTTTGTGATTTTGCAGAGAATTAATTTTGTGATATAATAATTTCTCCCAATAATGTTTTAAGTTTATTTGATTCTTGTAGTTTCTTAATTTTTCTATCAACTACAACAGGTAAATCTACTTCAACATATGTAAATTAATTATTTGGATAAGTTTGCCACATAATAAAGGGAAGAGTATCATAACCAGATCCAAGGGATATTATATTACATTTTTATTATTTGTTGATATATGTAGAAACTATTCGATGGAATATATTAAATCTACACCAATAACCTCTATGAATAAGAACATCTTTTTTAGAAGTACCTTTAACAAATTCTTCTGAGAATTCATCTTTGAAATATTTATGCTTGATAGCAGATCTATTATAGTTAAATTTATTACATTTTTGCTATTGTAGCTTCTGCATTAGTATCTTCAACATGTATCTATATTGGATTATTTTATTGCATAATCTTATTAAAATAAATGTTAAATATAAAATTAATTTTAAATGAAGTCATATATCAACTTCAATGTAATCACAATTTTTAATCCATGTTCCATCTTTTGGTTTACCTTCAGCATCAAATTAAGTAGCTGAAATTGTTTATAAAAATCTAGAATGTGTTACGCATACTACATTTTAGTTTCTATAAAATGATAATTCTATTTTTGCTTATTAAATCCTATTCATTGTATCCATAAAGGTTTCAACTACAGAATCTGGTGGATATTAGAATAAGTAATCTAATATGAATTTTGGTCCTCTTTAATCTAAAGTTTATTATTATAATTTTACTTAAATCATCACATGATTATTATTAAATATATTCCTTCATTAATTATTTTTAATCTTGATTCTAAAGATATTCCATAGTCCACATATTTGGATATTATTATAAAAATTCTGTATTCAAGATTCTGCTGTAATCAAATTGAGGATATTCATTCATTGTACTTGTTAAATTACCACCAATATCACATGAGGATGATAACATTTCTCTTAAAAATGGTACTACAATAAATTTAGGTTTATTAGGATGATCTCTAAATAAATAGTGTGCTGTCTATATTGCCCTTCTTAATGGTGAAACAAGTACTATATCTACTTTTATTTATGACATTTTTGTTGTAGATTCTAAACATTATTGAATACCATATTATGTCAATCCACAATCAATTAGACTCTCATCTTATTTTATTTTTAGTGATTCTTCTTTAAAATTTGTTACTTCATTTAATGAATTCACAGCAAGTCTAGCAGCAAGGTTATATTCAGATTCTGCATGTCTGATTAGGATAAATTTAGATTTATTCATTCAATATGAATATTTATCTCAAATATTTTACCATATATATAAATAAATAATAATCCATCTTTATAATTATTCTAACAACCTTTTCTAATCTTATATTTCCAATCAAATATTAACTGTTATATTTTATTTTTCAATATTATTGGCTTTTAAATTTTATTGATTTCAAGGCTTTTTAAACAAATTTATTAATTATTCGAAACCATTCTTACGCATTTCTTAAACTTTATGATAAAATAGATCATAATTATATCTTAAATGAGAAACTCTTAAGTTTTTTAAGATTTAGTAAAATGCCATATTTTTATAATTCTTAACTTTTCATAATACTTATAGCTATTTAAACTTAACATTTTTAGTTTGTTCAATAATTTATCATATTCATTTCTAAATAAATCTCTCCTTTAATTCACTATTAATTTATTTATTTATTATAAAAGAATAATCTAATCTAATTAAATTTTGAGTTATAAATTTTTATCAATTCTATATAATCAATATCTTGTTAAAGTAATTGTATTTCTTTTTCAAAATTTTTTTTACAAATTAATTTAAATTTATTACAACTACTAAGAGATTGAAAAAGAATATTGTTTTCAAATTTGAAAACAACAATTATTCTAACAATTTGAGTTTATCAGTCTATATGTTTATAAATAAATGTAAAAATAAAAAATAATTATTTAGATAGTATAAGAATGGTATGAATTGATAAAGTTTTAATAATAATGGATAAAGTTGAATATGAAATAATAATAGATAATTAATTAATAAATAATTGTGAATATTGAATATAAAGTAAAAAAATAAAAAAAACTCCGAAAAGGCGGATTTGAACCACCGACCTGGGGATAACTGAATTAACACTACAGTCCCTCGCTCTACCAACTGAGCTATTTTCGGATATTAATATAAACTATACATTATTCATTATACTATCTTTATTATTTTATTTAAATTATTTAATGAAATAGAATCAAATTTCATCATTTTTATACTTATCTTTATTTCTTACATTTTTATTATCCAAGTGATTCCTATTTTGAAATAAAACAAAAATTCTCAGTTAATCAATAATTCATTGAATTTAAAAACAATTTCATTATAAATGATCCAGTAATTAAAGTAATTAATTTTCATATAAAAACATTATTTAAAATCGTTTTTTTCATTTTAATATAATTAAAAATATATAATTAAAATTGGTTTACTAAAAATCTAGAAGTATATTTTTTAGATTAATTTAAACTTGCTTACTTAAATATTCTTCCTGAAAGAATGCATAATTTATTGAATTACACAATTCTATAGATGGCCAAATGAAATTATTTGTCTAGAAAAAGAAATTATATTGAGATAATTTTTAAAGAAAAATCTTCTTTTTATTCCTTAAATAAAAGTACTTTAGAATTTTTCATGCTTAATCCTTGTATTCAAAAATTCACTCCAACTTAACAATTATTTTCTTTTAAATCTAAAATTGTATAAATATTAAATTTAAACATTTTTAATTTAGAAATAAATTGCTACTTAAATAAAAAATCAATTCCTTTGTAAATTTCAGCTTCTATACAATTTAATTTTTCGAAAAATTCTTATAGCTCTCGATTTTGACAGCTATAACAATTAAAAAGAAAGAATTGAGATAAATTGAAACTTCTAAATTAATAATTTTTAGCAAAATTTCTCCATAAAAGAGATTAGAACATTTTACTTCAAAATTATTTTATTTTAATTTCGAATCCTAATTTAAAAGAGTGCATTTTAAAAGGAAGATGAATATACTTAGATTAACATATACGTTTTTTTTATCTGTGGTTTTCTGAAGATTCAAAATTATTTATAATAAATACTAGAATTCTATCTAGAAATCAAAAGCAGGTTAAAATTATTATAAGTCTTTTGAACCATTCTATATTATAACAAAAAAGTTCTGAAATATTCCATAATTAATCTGGATTTGATTTGATCAATTAATTATTAAATAATAAACTTTATTTCTGCATAAATATAATCAAAGATTAACGTGAGGAATTCTAATAAAACAAACCAAAACATTTTAAATTAATGTCTATACTATAATAAATTTAAGATTTATTAACTACAAAAACAAAAGACTGAAATTTATAGTTATTCACTTTCTTTAAGAGAAATTATTAGGTAATTTAATAAATTAAATATTATTGTTATTATAATTCAGATTTTATTTTATAATATTTCTTCGCTTATAATTTTTCCATTTGAATATTCAACAAGTTTTAGTTTCTTTTTATTATTTTTATCTAATTCAATCCATTGAAAATTTTTGAACCCTTCCTCGTCATAAATTCCGCCACCTCTAAAATTCTAAGGGGAATATACTTTTTTTATAAATTTGAATTATGATGATCTAATATCTCCCATTCTCCTTACTTTATATTATTTCTATATAGTCCTTCATATAATATTTAATGTTAATAATGATAATTTTCATCTAATTCAATCCATTTTCCTTATTTTATTCCTTTTTCATAATTTCCTCCAGCACTAATTATATAATAAGAACAACATTTTATAAAAACTATCTTTAGGCCAAAAAGGATAGGTTAGAACATCATGCTCATAAAAGTTTATAGTTTTATAGTCCCATTTTCCTTATTTAATTCCATGATTATATAATCCAGTTTCAAAAACTTAACAATTGCTAAAATATATATATCTATTTAATCATACTAATTATAATTATCATGTAAGTTTATCCATTTTCCATGCTTCATTCCTTCAAAATCATAACTACCACCTCCACTTTAGGTATAATATTATTAATAATTACATTCTTTCTAAACCTTTATTTTTATTAAGAAATATATCCCATTTACCATATTTAATTCCTTTTTTATAAAATCCTTTTAATATAATATAATTAGATCTGAACAAATCATATAATATTTTTACAATTTAAATTTCCATAGTTCAATCCAACTTCCATCCTTTAAACCTTAATTATCATATACACCACCTCCACTTATTAATATAAATGCAAATTTACATTATTGAATTTCCTTTTATGATTTTCTTTCCTTCTTTTATTTTCCAATCGCCTTATTTTTAACCATTCTTATATTCTCCAAAATAAACTATTTAATCCTTTTCTATAAAATTTTCAAAGACATCAATTTTTTCAAATTAAGTATTATTTGAAAAATGTATCCATTATCCATTCTTTTTTCCATCTTGATTATATTCACCCATACTACTATATACTTTAGAAATGATTAATACGCAATTTTATTTCCTATTAANATTGTTATTATAATTCAGATTTTATTTTATAATATTTCTTCGCTTATAATTTTTCCATTTGAATATTCAACAAGTTTTAGTTTCTTTTTATTATTTTTATCTAATTCAATCCATTGAAAATTTTTGAACCCTTCCTCGTCATAAATTCCGCCACCTCTAAAATTCTAAGGGGAATATACTTTTTTTATAAATTTGAATTATGATGATCTAATATCTCCCATTCTCCTTACTTTATATTATTTCTATATAGTCCTTCATATAATATTTAATGTTAATAATGATAATTTTCATCTAATTCAATCCATTTTCCTTATTTTATTCCTTTTTCATAATTTCCTCCAGCACTAATTATATAATAAGAACAACATTTTATAAAAACTATCTTTAGGCCAAAAAGGATAGGTTAGAACATCATGCTCATAAAAGTTTATAGTTTTATAGTCCCATTTTCCTTATTTAATTCCATGATTATATAATCCAGTTTCAAAAACTTAACAATTGCTAAAATATATATATCTATTTAATCATACTAATTATAATTATCATGTAAGTTTATCCATTTTCCATGCTTCATTCCTTCAAAATCATAACTACCACCTCCACTTTAGGTATAATATTATTAATAATTACATTCTTTCTAAACCTTTATTTTTATTAAGAAATATATCCCATTTACCATATTTAATTCCTTTTTTATAAAATCCTTTTAATATAATATAATTAGATCTGAACAAATCATATAATATTTTTACAATTTAAATTTCCATAGTTCAATCCAACTTCCATCCTTTAAACCTTAATTATCATATACACCACCTCCACTTATTAATATAAATGCAAATTTACATTATTGAATTTCCTTTTATGATTTTCTTTCCTTCTTTTATTTTCCAATCGCCTTATTTTTAACCATTCTTATATTCTCCAAAATAAACTATTTAATCCTTTTCTATAAAATTTTCAAAGACATCAATTTTTTCAAATTAAGTATTATTTGAAAAATGTATCCATTATCCATTCTTTTTTCCATCTTGATTATATTCACCCATACTACTATATACTTTAGAAATGATTAATACGCAATTTTATTTCCTATTAAGGTCTTCCATGTACCAATCTTCATTCCATGAAAATATTATCCAAAACATTTAACATGATGAGAGAAGCTTATTATTTATATTTAAATAATAAGTACTTTCTTTAACTTCTATTTAATTCATACCAAAATCCATTTTCTAAATTATTTTAATCATAACAACCACAACATCTATTAATAAATCTATTTTAAACATAATTTAATGTGAATATCTATAATTTAATTTAACGATATTCCAATTTCCTTATTTCTTTCCATTACAATATTCACCATGATACAATAATTTTAATTCGCTACTATAATAATAAAATTTAACTCATCAAAAGTTTCTTCAAAATCAATCCATTTTCCATTTTTCAAACCATCTTTATTGTAATTGCCACCTAATCTAAAATAATATTTTAAATGAAAAATACATTTTTTAAAATTTATTATTTGAAGAATCATTAAATTAATAAAACCAATTACCTTATTTTTTATTGTTTTTATACTCTCCTTTAATTGTAATTTAACAATAGCTAATAAAATTGTAAGAAATTAATAACATATCAAAATTTTTGTGTAATTCAATCCATAATCCTTCCTTCAAACCATTTTCATTATAGATTCCTCCTCCTCTAAAAATTTTGAATTTTTTTACAATATTTTTTCATCTTATAAATAAATCCACTTTCCTTATTATTTTCCTTTTATATACATTCCAACAAAAAACACTTGGCAAATCCTTTATTTAAATAATTTAATTGTATAATACTTCCAGTAACTTTCAAGAATTTCTATCCATTTTCCTTCTTTCTAACCATTATCATTATATAATCCACCAACAAATTATTTTTCACCTCTCCAAATCATATTCCACTTTCCTATTTCCAAATTTGTTATTCCATAATTTCCTTCCCATTTCAAATTTCTAATTTATTCTAAATTTGTTAAAATTTTAAGTTTTTTATTTGTATCTCTTTAATTATCTCTTTTTTAACATATAAATTAAATTACATCCTAAGAATTTCACCATCATATATATATTTGATTTATCCAGATGGATTTAATTCAATCATAAACTTAATATTTCGTTTATTCCATTTACGACCAGATACGTTCAATTAATGATAAGTACCAATCTTATTATAAATTCCATTTTTCCAAAGCCCATTTTCATCTATAATTTAGATTAGAGACCTTTCTTTTATTTAATCAGACTAAGATGCACCCATTTTTTTATTTTTTTATTAAATTTTCTGTCTCCTTGAATATTAAAATTATATATTAAGAAATTTATCAGAAATTGAAATAATAAATAATTAAAGATTATTTTATATTAATTTTTAATTTGTTATTAAACAGAATTTTTTCAATGATCAAAAATAATTGAAAATATAGATTTATACTATTCTTTCTAACATTTAATTCATAAATTACAAAGAGTAATTCTAAAATTCAATAAATTTTTAATATTCAAATAGAATAAAGAAAAGCATTTAAATAATTACCTTAGCCTTAATATGCTTCATTTAATTTAATTTAAATTCAAGATGAATTATTTTATTTAAAATTAATCAAATGAGAAACGTAAGCATTGACACAATTAATGAGAAAAAAAAATTGTCATACTTCAAACAATTTTAACAAATATTTTGAGGCTTTTTTTGAAAATAATTAAAAAATAATATATTCATTTTTATTCCTTAAAATCAATTTAACATTAATGATTAACTTTATATTATAATTAAACAACTAACTTATTTAGTTTTTATTACAAAATTCTCACAATAAAATAATTGAAAATGAATCAAATTGAATAATTTTGGATAAATAAAAATATTTAAATATACATTAAGGATAAAATAGAAAATTTATTTTTAATATTGAATATTTACGCTTCAAATCATATTTTTCATCTCAATTAAATTTTCATAATGTATTTATAGATGTGTTGAAATTTTCTTTTTATTTAAATTCTTTTAATTCATAAATGATTTGTTTTAACGGAATAAATTTCCTAAAATATTTATTAGAATTTAAGAGACTTTTCAGAATTAATTTCATAAAATTTCTACCATTAACAAGTCTATTTATAAAAACTTACTTTAAGATAATAAATCAATATAAATATTAAATTTGGAAATTATTAGAAGAGAATTATGAGATTAAACTTAATATATTTCAAATCAAGTATTAACAATTTATTATCATTACAAAAAGTTATTCTATTTTTGGCAATTTGGATATTTAGATATTTTAATGATAAAAATTGAAAATAAAAAATATGTTGGTTGAATTAATTCATCTACATTCAATAAATATAATTGATAGATTCATTTATTTTTTTGAAATGTGATATTATTTAAATAAAAATTTATTGATAAAATGGATTAGCATCAGCTAGAAAAAGAAAATGGAGAGAAATAATAAAGATTATTAAAAATAATAGATAAGGTAGAGAGTTAATTAGAGACCTTTTCGCGGTATAATTTGGAGAATCTAATAATGTTAGTTGGAAAAACTGGATCTGGAAAAAGCACTATATATAATTTCTTATGTGGGGCTCAATTTTCTCTAATTATAGATGATTATGGAAAACCAACACTAAAATTAGTGAATGAATCAGATTAATTTTAAGAAATTAGAGGAGGATTGGATTCTACTACAAAAACACCTAAAATTTACTATGAATAGAAATATAAACATTCTATTATTGATTATCCTGGTTTTAATGATACAGAAATAAATGACTAATTAGAAATATAATTATTATTTAATAAATTAGTTACCTAATGTAAAATTAAAATTGTATATGTGTTTTTAAATCCAGGTGATGATTTATAAAATAAAGCTGAGGATCTATAAAATTTTATTAATGAAGCTGATATTGATATAAGTAAATTAACAATATTAATTAATTCTTATAGTAAAAAAAGAACAGATGATCAATTAATTGCTGGTTTCTAATAAGAATTTATGAAAAAATTTAACAAAAAAGCTCACCAATTGATCATTTAAAGGGATATTGATAAACCAAAGAAAATTTCTTAATTTCTATCAGAAGAATACAGATAAAAAATGTGGAAGGAATTAATAAGTTCATAAGTAATTTAAATGAAACCTTGTGTATTAAGTACTTATTAAGATGTAAATAATTATTTAGACAATATAAGTTTAGATTTATCTGAAAGTTTATTATTAATATTTAAAGAACTACAATATAAATAATATTCTACTTAATAAATAGAAGAAATCAAAGAAAATATTAAAAAATTAGAGAATACATAAATAATAATTTAAAGATTTTAAGAAGGTAATATTAGTAAATTAAATGAATTAATGATGTTTACTGGCACTTTTTAGGAAAATTAAATGATAGCAATATCAAGAATATATTCATTTTTTTTAGATTGTAAAAATTAAATGGAAGCTTATACAAAAATGGAAAAATGTATTTAAAAAGCTCTTTAAAATCTTGAACTTAGTAAAGAATATTTGTGTCTTAAATAAACCTTTCTAGAATAATTAAAATTAGCTGAAGACACAAAAAATTAATTAGAAGAAGAAAAATAATTAATAAAAAAAGAAAAGGGAAAAATGGAAGATAAAATTAGAATAAAAGAAGATGAATTAATTTAACTAAAAGAATTATTAGTTTAAGCTCAATAAACTCAAAATCAAAATAAAGATTTTTCTTTTCTGAAAAATAATACAGAACAAGAAATAAAATTGATAAAAGATTAAGCTATTTAAGAAGTAAAAAGATTAAATAAAGAAAAAACTTAGAAAGAATAAGAATTGAGTGATTTTAAAATGAAAAATATATCAATTGAAATGAAGTGTACTTAATTATAAAATGAAAAAAATATAATAATTGAGGAATTGTAGTCAGTAAAAAATTAAAATAATGAAAAATTAATAGATTTAAAAATCAAAGAACTTGAAATTAAGGCAATTTAATTGGAAAATAAATAAGCTTTAGATTAAATTTAAAAGCTAGAGCAATAATTGAAAGAAATAAAAAATAATTCTTTAGAATAATCAAGATAATATGAGGAAATGAAATATAAATTTAAGACATTAAAAAAAGAAAATATTGAAATTAAAACACTAATAAATGATAAACAACTTCAATTGGATTTAGTTTAGAATCAAAATACTGTATAAATAAATTAATTAAAAAATATATAATAAGAATTAAATGAAACAAAAGATTAAAAATAAAAAATAATGTAATCTTTTTAAGAAATATAAAATAAATATCAAGAAATGAAAGAAGGATTGGAATAATAAAAAATCAAAAATTTAGAAATTTAACAAAAATTAAACAATAAAGAACATGAATTTAAAGAAAAAAATTTTTATTATTAATAAGTATGCTTGGAATTGAATGATATTAGAGCAAAATTTTAAATATAAGAAGAATAATATAAATAATTATTGAAAAGCATAAAAACAAAAGAGGATGAACTAAAAAAAAAAGATGAAGAATTAACTAAGTAATTAAATGAAAATCGATTAAAGGAATAGAATATTTAAAAATATAATTTAGAATGCAATAATGCAAAATCTGAATTATAAAATACATTAAATGATATGAATTAATAAAGTCTTAAATTATAACAAGTTTAGGAAGAGAATAAAATATAGAATACTAAGCTATTATAATATGAATAAAAACAAAGAGATTTCCAAACATTTTTAGAATAAATTTAATATGGTTCTAATAATTTAGAAAAAGTTAAATTTAATTCTGTAATTGTTTTAATTGGAATGATTGGTTCAGGTAGAACAACATTATTCAATAAAATATGTAAATCTTAAGAAAAAGTAAAAGCAGGTGGTAGTTCATCTACAAGGTATTATTATTATATTATTTTTAAATAGGTAATCTATTCTTGGTAAATCAGCATATGGACATGAATTTTTTGTAATTGATACTCCAGGCTTGGGTTCTGATTAAGATAAAATTAATCATGCTATAGGAATTTTAAATGCTGTTTAAGATTAACCATTAAATAAAATTATTCTAGCTGTAAAATTTGATAATTTTGCTATTATGATTAACTAATTACTGATATAAATGAAAATCTTTTAGCGATATTAAAAAATGTTTACAGTTTTTGTAACTCATTTTGATTAATCAAAAAATAAAGAAAATGATAAAATTGCAATAAAAAAAGAAGTTGAAAAGATTGGAATACAATCTATTTTATTTTTTTAAATAATAGACAATGCATAAAGCATTTGTGATTAAATTAATACACTCTTAAATCAAACAATTCCAAGAAAAGTAGAAATAACTTAAGAAGAGTTTCTCAAATATTTTGATTTATTTGATGATGATGAATTAAATGATAGTGATGATTATTTTAGAATTGAAGAAAAAAAAGCTTTTATTAATAGTAAAATTAAGAAAATGATTTTTTCATCATCCAATTATTCTATGTAAAAAATATAATAATCAAATAAACCAGATGAAATGTATGATATAGTCTTAAAAGAATTAAAAATAAATGCTTAAAAAATTATAAAAGAAGAAGGACCAAAAATATTTTCTTTAAAAAAAGTTAGTTCCATAAATTTAGAACAATAAGAAACTTTAACAACATAGTGGTTTGATTCTGTTGAGAATATGTTATCTTATTAGTTGTAAAAAGAATTGTTATTTGATATTAAATAATTCAATTAATAAGCTTTATAATAATTATCAAGCAATAAAGATTCAATTATTAATAATTTAAAAATTTGCAATTATTGTGGTCTAATTTGGTATTTCTAGTCAAATTGTAACAATACTTATTATTGTAATGGCGATTTTAAATAAAGAAATAATAGTCCACTTGATGAATTTTTTTGGGCTGTTTTTTAATTTATTATTAATATATCTGGAATATCGAATTTAGAAATTTAACGAATTAAATAAATTATTCTATTACATTTGAGAGAAAGATATGATTAAAATAATTATTATGGTTGCAACAATTAGCTTGAATCAATTTCAAAAAATAAAAACACTTTTGAATTTTTTGATTTCAACTTAGACTTCTTGATTCAACCTAACTAATTTTTTTAGGAGTAAAGTAAATATAAAATATTAGACCAACTTATTTAGAAAAAGAAAAAGATATTAATTGTTAAACGTTTATAAAATTAACAATCAAATTGATTTCCTAATTGTAATTCATTCATCAAACCTATTCTATTATTTTTTATTTTATTTATTGCTATTTTTTATCTCTTAATCCATTAAATTCAAAAAAAAAAATTAAATGATGATTTTTCATGCATTTTATGTCACTTAAAAAATTATTATTTGTTTTTTTTTATAATTTTAATATTTTCTCTTATATCTGTAATGAGAATGATTAATTTCAGAATAACTTTGAATCAAAATTTTAACTTTTAATAAATTGTTACTTATTCAATTATCTCATTTAAATATATTTCAATAGAACAAAAGAATTTTCTTTTATTTTTAAATTCAATTAATAATAGAACTTTTTTATACAATTTAAAATTAGATATTTAATTTCAATTATGTTAACAATATATATGTAATATTGAATAATTAAATGACTATATAAAAATTATCAAAATGCCTCTGAAAACAAATGAAAATTATGATGTAAAAAGTAGATAAAATCACTAAAAATATTTTTCGAATATATAGCTTATAAATTTGGATATTTTTTGATTATATTAAAGTTTAAACAATTAGAATTAATAACTCCTTAATTTATTCTTAATTTTAACTTTATTAAAGGATTTTCCATTTTTAAATAAATTTTATTAAAAAAATTAACTCAATTGCTAACTTAGAATTAATAATTTGGATTTTAATAAAAAAGTTAGGAAATAATTAATATATTTAATTAGAAAACCAATATATTAAATTTCTTTATGAAAAAATACTAATTTTAACTTATTGATAAATTATAGTAATTATATCATAATTAATTTAACAATTATGATAAAATGCTTGATTTTAATAATTCACAAAATAATTTTTTTTCTATATATAAAAATGATTGAGTTAAAAATATATAAAATTTTCTAGATTAAAAAAGCGAAATATTAATTATAAAAGGTAGGATTGTGTTCCTTAAAATCAAAAATATGAATTGGTGAAATAGATTAGATAATTAACTGAAAAAGACAATTATTTAGAAAAATCATTTAAGAATAAACAAAAAAATTAATTCACACATTTACAATTCTATTATAATAATTAAAATTGTAATTACTTTATTTATGATAATAACAAAATTCAAATATTATGAAATGAGTGAGAGAACATTATACAAATCTAAATAGTTACTTAATTGAGGATTAAGGTTTTTAAAATAATATTTTTATTCACAATTTAAATTACAGGTTTAATCTAAGTAAATGGCTACATATTCCAATAATAAAATTTGGCTTAAAAGCTTAAAAAATTATAAAAATAAGAAAATGTTGTTTTTTTTTTTCTGAATACTAAAATTGATTCATAAATATCAGGAAGCAATCTCCTGTCTGGACAAAAAATTATATCAACATTTTAATAATATCAATTCTCTTTTGGAATACAGGTATTTAAAAAATATTATATTAAAAGGTAAATGCTTAAGAGTTCATAAAAATTATTTTTATTTTATATCAATAAATAAAAATGAATGGGTCATTAGTTATAGATTCTAAACATGTTAGCATACTACAAAGGTTTATTAGATAATGTTATAATTGATGCGTGCTTTTTATTTAAAATTAAAAATTGTGTTTTAAATTAATAATTGTGAACTAATACCAAGAAGCAGTTATTCATTTAAACCATATATTATGATAAATGGAAAATATCATAAGAAAATTGTTTAGTTAGATAAAATTTTAGCTCTAAATCTCTAAGATGCGTATTATTGAAGTTAACAGGTATAAAATAGGTGAATTCATTTAGATTACTTAAAAATTATTAATATTTATCAATATTCTATTAAAATAAAGGAGTACGATAATATTTTTCTTAAGAAATTTGCTTAAAAAATTTAAAAAAAATGAAACAAAATATTTATAATCTATAGAGATATACTAGTTTTATTTTTTCTGTATGAATAAAGAAGACCAAAATAGTAAAATGCTATTATGTAACTTTAAATTGATAAAATTCCAAGTCCAGATATGAACTAATATATAATTGAGTTCTTAGAGCGAATTAGGTTTTAGGTTTTAGGTTTATGAATTTTGGTTTTTAATAGATCAAGATAGATAATTTATTTATTGTTTGATGGTATTCTTTTTTTAATTTTTCAATACTTTATAATCTACAATACATTCTTATACAATTTCTGATTTTACCAAATTTATTAAGGACCACAACTTAAGCTGTAATTAGAATAGCTTATTTAATTCGTTATCAAAAGATGTTGAAGGGATTAATCTTAAAGTATATAATCAGGATTAATTAAAAAAATTGAAAAGAAATATTTGGATATTTAAGCATTAAAATATGTGAGTTAAAATATAATTTGGTTTATAGCTAATATAATATTTTATAGTAAATACATCAGATAAGTACAAATCGAAAAATAGAAAAGGAAAATTTTACAATGAATTAAAAAGACTAAGGATATAACCCAAAATGAGAGATATAAATTTAATTTTTATACAAAAAGGATAGCAGTCATTTCCATTTAAATTAGATGTTTTTAAATAGTAATTGTTATCAGAATGAAAATTAGAAAATATATCTTTTAACCACATGATGAAATTCAAGGTTATTGATGGAGCTTTTAATAATTCTCCAAAGACTATATAGGTTTGATAGAGAAAGGATTGTTTTGGATAATTGCGATGTTATAGATAATTTTCAAAAATAAATGAATTTAATAGGGGTAGTCATTTATTAAACTAAAGCAATTTTAAATTTGTGATTGTTTATATATATTTTTATATTGAATTAATCAGAATGATGGAATTAAAAAAATCTCACTTATTTATTCAATCGTTAAATGAGTAATAATTGAAGTTAAAAAAAAAATAAATCTAATAAATTAATTCTACTTAAGAAAATAATCCATAATATTCGCTTTGTCAATCGATGAATTTAAACAATAGCATTTCATAAATAATTCTGGCCTTTCAGATTAATTAATTAGCTATGTAGATATAGTAGCAAAGAATATAAATGAAAGTAAGAAAAGTAATTAATCATAAGANGAATAAAGAAGACCAAAATAGTAAAATGCTATTATGTAACTTTAAATTGATAAAATTCCAAGTCCAGATATGAACTAATATATAATTGAGTTCTTAGAGCGAATTAGGTTTTAGGTTTTAGGTTTATGAATTTTGGTTTTTAATAGATCAAGATAGATAATTTATTTATTGTTTGATGGTATTCTTTTTTTAATTTTTCAATACTTTATAATCTACAATACATTCTTATACAATTTCTGATTTTACCAAATTTATTAAGGACCACAACTTAAGCTGTAATTAGAATAGCTTATTTAATTCGTTATCAAAAGATGTTGAAGGGATTAATCTTAAAGTATATAATCAGGATTAATTAAAAAAATTGAAAAGAAATATTTGGATATTTAAGCATTAAAATATGTGAGTTAAAATATAATTTGGTTTATAGCTAATATAATATTTTATAGTAAATACATCAGATAAGTACAAATCGAAAAATAGAAAAGGAAAATTTTACAATGAATTAAAAAGACTAAGGATATAACCCAAAATGAGAGATATAAATTTAATTTTTATACAAAAAGGATAGCAGTCATTTCCATTTAAATTAGATGTTTTTAAATAGTAATTGTTATCAGAATGAAAATTAGAAAATATATCTTTTAACCACATGATGAAATTCAAGGTTATTGATGGAGCTTTTAATAATTCTCCAAAGACTATATAGGTTTGATAGAGAAAGGATTGTTTTGGATAATTGCGATGTTATAGATAATTTTCAAAAATAAATGAATTTAATAGGGGTAGTCATTTATTAAACTAAAGCAATTTTAAATTTGTGATTGTTTATATATATTTTTATATTGAATTAATCAGAATGATGGAATTAAAAAAATCTCACTTATTTATTCAATCGTTAAATGAGTAATAATTGAAGTTAAAAAAAAAATAAATCTAATAAATTAATTCTACTTAAGAAAATAATCCATAATATTCGCTTTGTCAATCGATGAATTTAAACAATAGCATTTCATAAATAATTCTGGCCTTTCAGATTAATTAATTAGCTATGTAGATATAGTAGCAAAGAATATAAATGAAAGTAAGAAAAGTAATTAATCATAAGAAAAATAACAAAATATTTAATGTCATGAGGTTTAATGCATAACTTTGATAGAGATAGCATAGCATAGGAATCAATAGATATTCATTTATCTAATATAAATAAATAAAAGGATTCCTTCAAAAATTTATGCGGTTGGAGTAGAAATTGATATTAATTTATTTGAGGTAATATGATAATCAAAATAAAAGAAAACTCAAAATAATATGAAGCTTTCATATTCTTCACTTTATCTTTCAAAGATTCTGTTTTTTAATGACTATGAAACCCTACAAAAACTATAATTCTGAGAAATTGAAAAATTATTCATTATTTGAAGAAAGATTGTAAATTACATCCTATTTTGGTAATATAATAAGAATGTTACAATATTTAAATTTTCTTTCCTTTATACTTTTTTATTTCCTTAAGCTAAAGAACGAGCTTATACATCTTATAACTAATATAATATAATATAATATAAATTGTTTTTAATTATTACTTATGTATGTTTAAGTGCGCTAATGATAAAAAGTAGTAGCTATAATCTCAATAATGTTAGATTAATGAGAAGTCAAAATTATAGGTTCGGTGACGCATCCAAAATATTGGTACAAAAAATACAAAATTATGAAAAATATTATAAAATATTATACAAAATATACAAAATTATTAACAAGCTATAAATGACCTAAAAGATAACTTATTGTTCTTAAAACTGTAAATAATAAAAAAGGAATGAACCAAAGATAAAGAGAATAATTTTTTTGATTACAAAAATAAAAATGTGATAAAAGGGTAATTACGATTTAATTCATTAAAAAGTATTTATTTGAGTTTTATAAAACTAAGAGTTATTAGATAAAGAAAAGCTATAACTATTATATAAAAAATAGAAGAGGCAGTTGATAAGAAGATATTTATTAATTTACTTTTTGTGGTATAAAGATTAATCGGATACAAAGGAATTAATAAGAATAAATTTTTAAATTACTAAACATTTAATGAATCAAAATATTGATAATATTTAGAACAAACTGAGTTAATTTTTAGTTTTAAACTGTTAGGTTATTAGTTAAAATAAATGATAATATTTAGTAAATATTATATCCAAAATATTTTTAGAACTATTTTATTAAAAATAAATATTTATAAAATACAAGTCATATATCTAATTTTTGTGTAAACTTTGACATCCAATTAAGCCATAAGTTTAATGGCTTTTCCGAAGGTACACATGTGTTTCATTTATCCATTTTTGTGAGCATCAGTAGAAAAATATGATGCAATTAAGCAAAGACATATGGTGTTTATAAGCTGAGGCTTAAAAGCTATCTATTATAAGTCTTCTTGCTTCGACGAAGATTCATGAAACAAAAAGAAATTCTTCTCTTAGAACTTCAAAATCTGTATTATCTTCAAATATTTTTGGCTTTAGCTTCATTAATAACTTATTAAAGGAGATAGTTCAGCAACTCTTTATCTATCCTTCTAGTCATAGGTCGGTTTGAGTTCATCAAGTTTAGCTTATAATTTGGGGTCTCTTTACTAAAGATTGGCAAGTTCTTCATTGAGTTCAGCAAGATTAGTAACACAAATACCTTAGAATGCCTTGCTTTCAGCATAGTCTTTTCTTTAATCATTTTAATCCCTTTCTTCCAGGTCATAAAGAGTTGAGAAAAATATTTCATGGGTTTCACCTGTGAGCATTTTGAGGGTAATTGATTCAACATTTTCTCCTTTCTCTCAAATAGTCTCTAAACTTTTTGTTAAGTAAAAAGTTAATTTCATTTTAATAATGACTTTAATTATCAAAATCTCAATTTTGAAGAGAAATTAATAAAAAAATAAAAGGATTATTTTTTTATCTTAGTAATTTAAAATAATTTATTCTTTAAATTATAAAAAATAATGGAAAACAATTTAATTATCAATTTTAACATAAGATAGATATTATATTAAATTATATTATATTATATT